TTTAGTTATGTTAGTCATGTGATCACCCTTTTAGTGAGGAGTGAAGCAAAATGTACCGTAGCTTTCTGCAAGTGATCTATCACTAGGCTTTTCTTTTCCTTATAGATTGTTTTCTTGCTATTCTTTATTTCCATTGCTTTTTGCAGTTAGATTTGTACTTTATCCTTTCTGATTTTGTTTCAGCATCTTTTGGTATTCTTTTATACTTGTCTTTAGCAATTTGACCTGGTTTCCACTTTCTGTACATTTCCTTCTTGTGTTTCAGGTCATTGAAGACCTTGTTACTTAGCCAAATTGGTCTCTGACCATACTTCCTATCCTCCTACTGTGTGGGATTGTTTGTGCTTGTACCCTAAACATCATTTCTTTAAGAAACTGCCAACTCTACTAAATTCTTTCTGCCTTAGCTGCGTTTCTCATGAGAACTTACCTTGCAGTTCCCAAGGCTTATTGGATTCTACTTGTATAAAGTCCATTGGGTTTGCTTTGCAAAGCAAACTCCCTCTTGTACCTCATCTAAAATAATATACATTATCACATCACGGTCACTCTCACCCAGATTACCTTTACCCTCGTATTCCCAGCCATCCTCCCTCTTCGTCGCTTAGCAGGCAACCTCTTGGCAGGCTGCTGTTGAAGCACTTGGCAGGCTCTGACAGCTGCTGTAGACCATATGCAGGGAGTGGTTAAATGCTGCTCATTATACCCAGAGACAGACACAGCACGTTGCTCTGTAACGGGCACCTAAACATTCATAGGGAAACACATCTTTAGCTGGGCGCTTAATCAAAGTGAAAACAGAATAAATCCTACATATGCAGAGTGTTTCAGATGCTCCTCTGGGAAGGCATCTGTGCAGATGCAGAAACACTTTGCCCAGCCTTGAAGTCCAGGTAAGAAGACAAAACCTCTTCCCGCTTCCTCTGCAGACCTAGGCATAAAATGAAATGTTTCTTTGGCCCACTTTTTCTTTCTCTGGATCTTTGTTTTCTATTTACCACCATTCAGAGAAGTGGGAAGTCTTCACTAAGGTTGTTTAACTGGTGAGTAAAAATGGATTGTTAGTGGCTTTTCATGGTATCGTGATTTCCATAGTATAGTCAAATCTTCACAAAGGGAGATTTCTCTATCACAAGGTTACTTTTTTTCATTTATGTATTCTCCATGAAATCACCACTGAATCTCTCAAGAAATAAGCTGGGGCATTAATAATATTTACCTTTTGAACTCACCTCATGAGGAAGTGAATCTACAGAGTATTGATTTTTGGAATTTTATTTTTCATTCCTTTAGTTGTCCTAAATTAAGTACTTAGGTGTTTAACATACAGCTAAAAGTTGATGCTCTAATGACTCTGATATTTGAAATGAGGAGACAGAAGCTTTCATTCATTTCTGGCATTGCATGACAGTAAAGTTTTATAGGTGAACCTAATAGGCATCTTGATTCTTCTCATTTCAGTACAGTTTGCAACTGCATAGGATTTTCTCAAATTTCTGATGTTTAAGCAGAATTTTTCCATGCCTCAGGATATTTTTTTTTCTAATTTGAGCAAAAATAGTTTATAGGCATTTGTACAAAGTGCTTTGGAAACTGTGTTCCCTTTCCTCATGCTGAACAGTTCTGGAAACCTTTCCTCTGAGAAGCTCAGGTGCTTGGCAGGCTTTGGAAAAAGCGTTTAAATATAAAATCGAAGGATTTCCTCTGGAATATTATCTCTGAAATCTCTGCTGGACTGAAGTGGCATGGAGAAGGAAACCACACATTTTAAATAAGGATGGCATGAGCCAGACTCTTTTGGGAAGTTGTTGTGGGTCACTGGCAAAATAGATTCAAATAATGAATCTGGCAGGAAGCAAATGACCTGATGAGTAGTATGAAGGTTGATGTGGCAGGAAAAGGAAGGAGAATGTCAGTATACTAAAATCTCTAGCAGACCTGGAGTGCAGAGCTTGGGCTTAGCTGAATACAGAGCTCCGAAGTGAGAAGCAGTGGGACTGTGTGGGAGGTTTTAAGAGGAAGGAGAGACAGGTCTGATGAGCTGGGCTCAGAAGTGTGGTTACTGTAGGGGGCTCTGAGACTGAAGGAGGAACCAAAGGGAGGAGTTAGGGAGTGGGAGCCAGTTCTTGGGTCATGCCTGAGGAATGCTGAACACTAGAATCAGGGTGAGATCTGATGGGCATCTGGGAAGCTGGAAAACAGGATTTGCTGGGCAAACTGCCTGGGAAAGGTATGAACATGGCTTGCAGAGGTGAGATGAGGATTTGCTGGAGGCTGGATTAAAAGCCTGAGGAATGGAACCAGGCACTGGGAAAGGGTGGGGGTGTCACAGCTGGGAAGGGACAAAGGAGAAGCATGATGCCACCTGAAGGCATTTTGGGGGAGTTCCTTCAGCATTTGTTTTTTAAAGAAACAGGATATTAAACACATACAGTTTCACACATTCAGTTCACAGGATGGACATATTCTTGAGAATCTCTAGGGCTGTGCAGTAGCATCACCTCTGTCTGCACCAGAAGAGGGAAGGTGCACAATGAATCGGGTGAGAAGTTTTAGTATGAGAGTTTGAGTTCTTTCTCTGCCACAATATTTCCACAGGATGTGGGGCACCCACCTTCTCCAGGGCTCTCATTGACTGTGCATTCTCTATTTTCTGGGTACCTGAGGAGGCTCTGGAATCAGATTTGCAGAACTTTTGAGCATTCATGTCTGTAACTGAATCAGCAAATCTATTTTGAATTTACAGAGCGTACCATAACGTTAAATAGTCTGAAATGTCATGTCTTAGGCATCGCAATCTTGAAACCAGAAGTCAGTAGATATTTCATCTTATGCTCTCTGTGCTCCAGCTCATAGGTAACTTTAATGCTACTGTTTCCTAACTTTTGAATATTTGATATTGCATGTGCCATAAGTGTACAATGTAAAAGCATGTTTTGTAAAAATGAAGGCTAAAACACAATCCTTCTGCTGAACAGCTTGTCCTGGGACACAAAGGAGATCAATATGGAGAGGAAAAATAGACCTGGATCGGCATAGGAAGAAGGAGAAATGCATGCATTTTTGTCAATAAGTGTCAGGCTATTTCAGGAGTTCATTTCTGTAAAAGAGCAGGCACAAAACCACCAATGTAAGGATAAGGCAGAAGGAGTCTCGGAAGGAATATAAAAAATAAACAGCTAGAGGAAATGAGAGCAGAGTTTTGGATGACATAGTGTTGGACCCTGAAGCAAGGGTGAATGAGATAGAAGAAGCTAGAGAAGATGGGAGCAAAAAGGAAAATAATGTTAGTGGTGGCACTTTGTGCCACTTTTTTTTTTTACTGAAGTGTAAAAAGAGGGAGGGAGATTATGACTGTCATGAACTGTGTCAGAGATTTTACCAGAAGAGAGAGCATAAGAAGGATACAACTAGGCAAACAGCAGTCTAGAGGCTGAATTCCAAGCAACACGGACTTTTAAATAAAGTTTTGAATTGTTCTATTCAGTGTGCAATGGCAGGAGTGAATGAATCAAATTTACACAGTGAGGTGAAAAGTCGGAAGGGAGAGAGAGGATCTAGGACTGAGACAATGTGGGTAGACCTGAATGGCAAGGAAGACATCACTGTTGTCAACAGTAACGGATAAGAGAGGAATTTGGGAGGGGAAGGTAAGACACACAAGAAGCCAGAACCCTATTTATCAATATAATAAGACAAGCAGAGGGATTTTATGAGGACGAGTTTCCCATAAAATAAGCCTGGGATGAGGTTGTTCATTGCCACAGTAGTAAGTGTGCTTCATATTCTAAGCTCTTCTACTCTCTTTTCTCCCTTTCTTCCTCCTTTTCAAGTTTCATAGGCTCATCTAGATTCCCTGAAAGAAAGAGTGGTGGAGGCTTGCTCTCCCATGACTAGTTTTGCAGTGGTTTAAGTGGCAGTTAACACGAGTGGGGTTTTGAATTAGGAGTTTAGATAAGAAGGCCCTACATCCCGTTACCAGTAGATTAAGAGCTGGCGTTTTGCCTATAGGCACAATCAAGAAGGAGGTGAGTGGCCAAAGATCAGCTTTGCTTTCCAACCAGGAGATTGTTTTGCACCAGTCAATGAAAATCTGAGCTTTCTATACGTACTTCCTTTGCTGTAGTGCACATTTACCAGTTCAGCACTGCAGGACCACACTAATGCCAGGTATTCTGGGACTCCAGAAGGAATAATTGCCTGAGACCTGCACCTGTAAGGATGTTCCTACCTAAAGGAAATTCTGCAGTGATGAGGCTAAGGCAGCCTTAGAGCTAGGAAAATTAGAGGATTGTCTGCCCAGCCTTCTTTTCACCCCCATCCACAAAGCAATCTGCATGCCACAGCCTCTGGTTCCTGTGGCTCATGTAGCCCGGATGAGCTGGGCTCATAGGCTTTTCTCTTTGTTACCAGTTTATAATTCCCATTTCAAATCTCTGAGGTTTTCTTGTCAATGCACACTTGGAAAGTGAATTCCATCCTCTCCCATCCCTTTCTCCCCGCCCTTCCCTGACTGTAGCATGCATTTGTGCCTCTTCCTCACCCTTTGAGTCCCAACTGGCTCAAACACTTGGGCGCATAAGGTAACCAGAGCAGAGTGGATTTTGTTCTCATGTATCTGTCACTCCTTCCCTCTTCCCTCTTCCCTTTCCCCTCCCCACCCCCAGTGGATCCAGGAGCCTCATTTAAGCTCAGCCTGGGGCCTTCGGTCCCCATCTGAGCTATGCTATAGGCCTGCTGGCTTCCAGCTCAGACATAATCGTGCCTATACCTGGCCATAGACCCCGCTGCTCTGGTCCCTGACTTGTGGACTGACTTCCTGGCTTGACCTTGGCTCTGCCTCATCACCATAATCTTGCCTGATGATCTGGACTCTTGTTTGAACCTGGCTACCACCCACCAGCCTGTCCTGCTCCGTCACTGGGAGATGGAGCCCTGTGTGGCAAGACCCTTACCCCGGCAGCTGTGTTACTGCCCTCAGCTCATGGCTCCCTGGCCCTTTGGGAGCAGCTGGCCCTTGCTGCTCTCTATCAGTATCCAATGGAAGTGGCCACACTTCACAAAACCAAAAACTTGGGACCCTTATGGCTACCGCTACAGGAAAGAAAACATGTCTCAACATTGAAAGAGACCAGTCAGACTGAAAAGAAAGGGGTGGGGTCTGGAGTGTGATCAGCCTGCATTTAATCTCATTACTTTTTAAAAGACTATGGTAATTAATTGGATCATTTTAGATATATCCTCTGTATGCAAGATCATCTCAGTGTGTACCACCTTGAATTTATTTTTCTCCATCTTTACTTGACGGAATTATACTTAGTATCTTTGCTGCTCCCACTTTCAGCCTCCCTTTCCTACAGCGTTGCTTGAGCAGGTTACATGAAAGGGTCTTGTTCCCATCACCCCGCCTCCTTTGCTCTTCCTTGGGTTACAGCTCCCTGCTTCTCCTAGAGTTCTTCCATCAGGTTCCATTTTGCCTTTTTCTGTGTCCTCTTTCTTCTCCTTGCTTTGGTTCTTTTCATCCTCAAATTGGCTCTTGCTTTCTCTCGCCCTTTTGCATGCTGGTTGGTAATAGTTTCTAGCACACTGGCAGCCTAGCTAGTGTCATTTTTTTTCTGTTGGCATCCCAGAAAAGGATTTTAAGGAGTGATTTTTTTAGGTGAAAAATGCAAAAGCTCTGTAGAAGTTTTAGAAGCTTTTTCTGAAGGAGGGAGGCACCATAGGAGCAAGCATGAGCTATTTGTTTGAAAAATTAGTAGTGGAGGGTAGTGGTAGGACTGATCAGAAGGGAAAGTCAAGCTTTTAATGCTGCCTAAAGTGACAGATAAAGAGAAGCCTTGGAAGGCAAGACAGGCAGATAACCAGGGCTGCAATGGAGAACGAGTAGCCAGGGGACAGGTATAAAGAGGTGATGCAATGAGGATGACAAGCAGTTTAATGATGGCAGTAAGGAAGGTAACTTTGCAACTGTTGAGGCCTGAAAGAAACCTAATGCAGTAATGGAGGTCAGAGGTGACCACAGTCTGGATAAGAGGTTTAGCTGTGTAGCTGTGTTGCAGATTGTGACTTGTACCTGCCTCACTGCTGTGAAGTGCGTTCTACTGTAAGAAACCCCTGTCAGTCTCTTTCTCAGCAGCCCCCAGCTGAAGTCATACGTTGTCCCCTCGCCAAGCTTGTACTCACTTTTATTTAAGAACTTGAAGCCCTTTTTCTGCAAATGAGATACTGTCAGAATCTGGCTCTTGCCAACAAAATGACCCAGATCAGATTATCCTTCTTGCAATGAGCCCTTGGCTCTCTGCAGCCTGCTGGAAGTTCCTGATCTGCTAATGATTTTCCATATTGTGTAGCAGACCAGCCTGTCTGCTCAGACTCACTCCCTCCTGTTCACCATGAGCAGACTGAAACAGGTGGAGCTGTTGATTTGGGTGACCAAGCCTCTTGCTTTTAAAGGGGGGATTCACCCTCTTAGGACCCACAGTCAGACATTCTTCCTGCAAAGCTTGTTTTTCCTGCTGCTTTTTTGTTCTGGTTGTTCGTGTGGGGCTGCTACACGTCACCTCCTCCTCATATGCTGTGTACCCATGTGCATATGGGTATGTGTGTATTCATAGTTGTCTTTTTGAAGGTATTAACAGAGCTTAAGTAGAGAATGTGACCCAATCACTGAGAATGTTATCTGTTTACAGAGGTTTTCTCTGCCTTCCACTGAGCTACCCTACTGGTACATTTTTCGCCTCGGAGTTCAAGTATATCAGGGACACACACAAGTATTGTTACCATTTCATTCTTTTAATCTGGAAAGTCCCACTTATCATGGGGCTGAGTCCCGGGGATCACCCATATGCTCAGCTGTGACCAAGGTCTGTCTTTACCAAAAATTAGCTGGAGGCACACCTCTGTTTGTAAGTTTATCACCAGGAGATTTTAAATCCTTATCAACCTATTTAGTTAGTTTACTTGGAGCAAATAGTATGCTGGTATAACTGATATTAATGTGTTTTTGAACTACGCATATGTGTGTGTATGCACACATACATATATATGTGTGTGTGTGTGTGTGTGTGTGTGTGTGTATACATGCATATGAGTTTGTATGTGTATTCTTATACTTGGATAATAGGTGCCATACATAGAGACTTAACATTATGTAACATTTGCTAGGCCACTCTTGATTATCTTTGAAAGGTCCTGGAGATCAGGAGAGGTGCCTGAGGACTGGAAGAAAGCAAATGTCACCCTAGTCTTCAAAAAGGGCAAGAATAAGGACCCAGGGAACTGCAGGCCTGTCAGCCTCCCCTCCATCCCTGGAAAGGTGATACAACAGCTCGTCCTGGATGCCATCTCTAAGCATGTGGAGGACAAGAAGGTGATCAGGAGTAGTTAGCACAGATTCACCAAAGGGAAATCATGCTTGACCAATCTGATAGCCTTCTATGATGGGACAACTGGCTGGGTAGATGAGGGGAGAGCAGTGGATGTTGTCTACCTGGACTTCGGCAAGGCTTTTGACACTGTCTCCCATCACATCCTCATAGGCAAGCTCAGGAAGTGCAGGCTGGATGAGTGGACGGTGAGGTGGATTGAGAACTGGCTGGATGGCAGAGCTCAGAGGGTTGTGATCAGCAGTGCAGAGTCTAGTTGGAGGCCTGTAGCTAGCGGTGTCCTCCCAGGGTCAGCACAGGGCCCAGTATTGTTTAACTTATTCATCAGTCACCTGGAGGAAGGGACAGAGTGCCTCTCAGCAAGTCTGCTGATGATACAAAACTAGGAGGAGTGGCTGATACTCCAGAGGGCTGTGCTGCCATTCAGAAGGACCTGGACAGGCTGGAGATATGGGCAGAGGGGAACCTAATGAAGTTTGACAAAGGCAAGTGCAGGGTCCTGTACCTGGGGAGGAATAACCCCGTGCACCAGTACAGGTTGGAGGTTGGCCTGCTGGAAAGTAGCTCTGCCGAGAAGGACCTGGGAGTGCTGGTGGACAACAAGTGAAGCATGAGCCAGCAGTGTGCCCTTGTGGCCAAGAAGGCCAAGGGTCTCCTCAGGTGCATTAGGCAGGTGGAGGGAGGCGATCCTGCCCCTCTCCTCAGCCCTGGTGAGGCCTCACCTGGAGTACTGTGTCCAGTTCTGGGCTCCCCAGTACAAGAGAAACATGGAGGTCCTGGAGCAAGTCCAGCAGAGGGCTACTAAAATGAACAAGGGACTGGAGCATCTCTCATATGAGGAAAGGCTGAGAGAGCTGAGCCTATTCAGCTCGGAGAAGAGAAGACTGAGGGAAGATCTGATCAATATGTATAAATATGAAGGGAAGGTGTCAGGAGGGTGGGGTGACTCTTCTCAGAGGTGCCCAGTGATAGAACAAGAGGCAACGGGCACAAACCGAAACACAGGCAGTTCTATCTGAACATGAGGAAAAACTTCTTTCCTGTGAGGGTGACAGAGCACTGGAACAGGTTGCCCAGAGAGGTTGTGGAGTCTCCTTCCCTGGAGATATTCAAAAGCTATCTGGACACAATCCTGGGGCAATGTGCTCTGGGTGACCCTGCTTGAGCAGGGGGGTTGGACTAGATGATCTCCAGAGGTCCCTTCCAACCTCAACCATTCTGTGATTCTGTGA